GGAGGAGAGGAGGAGGAGGAGGAGGAGGAGGAGGAGGAGGAGGAGGAGGAGGAGGAGGAGGAGGAGGAGGAGGAGGAGGAGGGAAATGAGGAGGAGGAGGCAGGAGTCTATAGAAGAGATGGATGAAGAGGAGGCATCTATGCAGGAGGACGGGGAGGATGAGGAGGAAGAGGAAGAGGAGGAGGAGGAGGCAGAAAGAGGAAGAGAGAAGAGAGAGGAAGAGAGGAGGAGGAGGAGGAGGAGGAGGAAACGGCAAGCTAGGTGCGCTTGTACCGTATGTGACATACTACCCCTTCCACCCGTTCCTCCTTGTACGTTTGTGTTTCCCATTCGGGTTCATTACCCGAGACGTACCCAATTCCTTCTCCTCCACGTGAGGCGAATCTTTGCATGTACGCTCCAGACACAGCAACACATCGCCAAATATGCACGATTTGCGATACCCTCATCTCCTCCGTGCCTCCCAGGAACCCAGGAGCGTGGCGACTGTTGCGCAGCGCGCAAACATCCAGGGAACAGCGAGCTCGTGCCTGAGTCCACGTGGCCCCCGACTCCGCTGGACCTTCCAGCGGCCCACGAAAATGGCGACAGTTTCGCAATTCGCAGCATACCATGAAGCAGCAAGGTCTCACATGTGTGCGCGTGGCCCCCGACTCCCAGGAGCCCATGCAAGTAGTGACGCTTGCGCAATTCGCAGCCACCCAGGGAGCGGCGAGGTCCCGTCGGGTGCGCGTGGCCCCCGACTCAGCTGAACCTCCCAGGAGCCCGCGAAAATGGCGATAGTTGAGCAGTTCGCAGCCACCCAGGGAGCAGCAATGAGCAGCGATGTCTCGTCCGGGTGCGCGTGGCCCCCGACTCTACTGGACCTCCCAGGCACCCAAGAGCGTGGTAACACTTGTGCAGTTCGCAGCCACCCAGGGAGCATCGAGGTCTCAAATGAGTGTGCGTGACCTCCGATTTCGCTGGACCCTCCAGGAGCCCACGAACGTGGCGACCGTTGCGCAGCTCGCAGCCACCCAGGGAGCAGCGAGACCCTGTCTGAGTGCGCGTGGCCCTCGACTCCGCTGGACCTCCTAGGAGCCACGAGCCCACGGAAGTGGCGACAGTTGCGCAGTTCGCAGACACCCAGCGAGAAGCGAGTCCCGTCCGGGTTCGCGTCGTCCCCGACTCCGCTGGACGGCGACAGTTGCGCAGTTCGCAGCCCCCCAAGGGGTCAGCGAGGTCGTGTCTGGGTCCGCGGTGCTCCCCGACTCCGCTGGTCCTTCCATGAGCCCACGAAAGTGGCGACACTCACTTGGGCAGTTCGCAGCCCCTCCAGGGAGCAGCGAGGTCCCGTCTGGGTGCGCGTGGCCCCCGACTCCGCTGGACCTTCCATGAGCCCACGGAAGTGGCGACAGTTGCGCAGTTCGCAGCCACCCAGCGAGCAGCCGGGATAGGTGGGGCGAACAGTGTTGTATTCAAAGCCGCGAACCCAACACATGAGGGTTGGGAATCATATGCCTCCTAGGGATGCCTCTCGGGGGCCTCTCGCATTCAGTCTTGATGCCGTTTTGGGGCCTCTTGGAGGCCTCTTGGGGCCTCCTGGGAGTATCTTGGGGCGAACAGTTCGAATTGCCAGTTCGGGGTCCCCCTCTCGGGCCCCATTTCAGGCCGTTTTGGGGCTCTCTTGGGCCGTCTGGGGCGCCTCTTGGGCCGTCTTGGAGCCCTCTCGTTTTTGGGCCCTCTGGGGGCCTGATGGGCCGTTGTGGGGCGATCTTGGGGGCCTCTTGGGCGGTCTTGGAAGCTGTGAGGCTGAAACGTCGTATATGTCACACATGCAAGTATTCTTGCGTGAGTTACTCGACTTTTGCCTCTCGGGACCCTACGGAGATGCCTCTTGGGCCTCTCTTGGGGCGTCTTGGGCGCCACTTCGGCTGTCGTCAGGCCATATTAGGCGTCTGGGGCCGATCGTTTGGTTATTCGGGGCCCTCTTGGCCCGTCTTGGGGGGCCTCTTGGGGCGCTAGTGGCCCGTGTTGGGCCCCTCTTTGGCATGAGAAAGTCATGCGGGAAGACGCGACGGTCCCCGGGGGCACGCGGCACGCCCCAGGAGATTTGAGAGCTAGGGGGTCCGGGCACCCGGCGTAATCCTCAGGAGTGAGGACTGAGGCTTGAGGGATTTGGCCCAGGATCTGAGGACACTCCACCTCGTGCCTCGGGACACGGTGGCGGATCTGCCGACGTGTGTCATGGCGGACCTCGAACCCCAAAGGGCATCGTGTTATGCGCAATCAGACGATGGGAGCTGTCTTCATGGGAGGAGGATGAGGAGGAGGAGCAGGAAGAGGAGGAGCAGGAAGAGGAGGATGAGGATGGAGGAGGGCGAGGAGGACAGGAGTCTCGGGAGGAGCAGGAGGGCCATTAGCAGGCGGAGGACGTGACAGAAACGGGGAGGCAACGATGAGGGGAGACTCCGATCCAGGAAATCTGCCCGCGCTTGGGCGAGAGCGCCATTCTGAACGACGGGAGCAAAGCTTCGATCCTAGAGTGAGGCGCACGCTGCTGCGTCAATTTCATTCACCGAAGATGTTCCGATTGAATCAACGAAATACGCAAGCCAGCGTGGATCCCGAACAGCAAGTCATTACACTGAATGTGTATGTTATGTGGTGCAATCTACGCGGTGCAAGCTTGAGGCCACAACGAAGCGGCCACCGGCGGCCAGGTGGCGAAACATCGCCTAGTCCACCTGGCGCACGAGACAGCAACGGGCCGGCAACTATCGGTGGCGAAACCTTGCTGGACCCCCCCAGCGAACGAGGCGGCAACGTGGCGGCAACGGGCGGCCACGTTGTGAAACCTCGCCGGACCGCCCAGCGCACGGGCGCCCAGACGGCCCAAGGTTGCTTTAAGAGGCCTTCAGGACGGCCTGAGAGTGCTCCAAGATAGCCCTGGGCGGCCAGAGACGCCCAAAGAGTCCCACGAGGGGCCCCACGAAAGTTCAAAGAGGCGCAAATATTATCACGTGGTTGACAGCATCGTCGAAATCCGTCGAGTTTTTAATGGTATTTCGCTGTTCTTCGGGTTTTCGGCTCAACACGGCACCAAGGTGGCTTCAGAGGATCAGATACGGCCGAGGAGGGACCCAATGTCGGGCCACAACGTCCCAAGTGGGCCCCAAGAGGGCCTCAAGAGGCTCCCCAACGATGCCGCTGGAGAAGTACCAGACGGAGTCCAGAAGCGTCCAGATGCCTTGCGTGAGAAAGCGTATCCGATTTGTGGGGGCAGACGGTGATTAGTGGACGCCCACCAGTCCACACTGTGCAGCCATGGCACGGGGGCCTGCTGAATGCGTGGACCGCGGGCAAGGGCTCATGAGGGGTGCTAAACGTTTTGAGAAATTGGTGAAGGCGAGGGCAGCAGACCGCTTCGCGCACTCACGGGCACACGTGTCCAGTCACTCGTTGCCGTATGCTTGCGCGCCCATGCCTATGGGGATTCAGAAGTTGTTGGGTGGTGGCAGTCTCCCAACCAGTCGTGTGAAGCTGCAGCTCGCGTGGAGAGAAGCAGCTGCTTGGTTCATTGAGGTCAGCACTCTCGGAATACGCTCCCACCCAAGTTTCGCCATCGAAGCAGCAGAGCAGATCCCGCACGGCCACAAGGCTGGTCCTGCACAGGACACGGGAGGAAAATCGTATGCACAGGTTTCCATTCATCGAAGCACGAGACGATCACCGTTTGTTCGTCTGAAAAGTCATCGGTTGCGAATGCCATTCGGTGCGCACTCGGACTACGTCATTGTGATCTTCTTGTCCCCGCACGTTGCTTCTTGACCCGTCGCACGTTGCTGCCGCCTGCGGCTCTGCCAACGCCGAACAGCCGACCGCCGGCAACTTTTTCTGCGCGCGCACTTAGAGGTGGGGTCGACGCTTGCTGGGGACCTCCGAGAGCGGAGATGGTTCCAGGCTCAACGGTTCACGCGCTGTCAGAAACCAGGCCGACGTCGTCACCCAGAGGAGAAGGTACGGATGCTGGCACCCTTTCCTTCGCACTTTGTGGGCCTCCTGCGAGGCCCTCGTTGCCACGGCTGAATTCGTCTCGAAGTTCTGCTCAGGGCGCACCCCAGGAGAGGTCCACAGAGCAGGTTTGTTGTCGCGTCCAAGTCCAGAGCGAGTAGCCCATCTCGTTGTATCCAGCAGGCTGCTCTTTGCGTCCCCGTGTCGATTGAGCCAGATGAAGCACTTTCCATCTAAGTCGAGAGGCAACCTGTCAGGAATTCTGCCCGGCGGCGCATGGTGTGTATTGAGCCTTTTGGTAAGGTGATTATCATTTGCTTATGATCGCGTTGCTGTCAGAATTGGATTGCTATCGACTGCGTGCACGGAGTCCATCAGCAGTCAAGTTCAAGCAGTGGCGAGGCGTCTTGGCTTGCCTATTGTCCCGCCAGAAAATGTGCTAAGATCTGCAATCATGTTCTCAGAACATTTCGGGTTGAGACTGTCTTGTTTCAACGCATTGGGTTTAGAATCTCTTCTGGGTTATACGAACATATCGTGGTAAACTTATGGGAATGCAGGGGCGTTCGGTCCCTGCTCCGCAAAGCGGTATGGTAACGGTCTGAATTGTAATAGTTTGTTGGCGATGCTTCAAATTTTTGAGCAGGTGGAATTGCACATTCAGCGGGGATTGGCCAGGTATGCGTATACCAAGCCAAGAAGACATCAGCGCATACAGCAGGCTCGTGCCGCCTTGCCGCGCTGGCGGTTCCAGCAGGGGCGTTCAGGGTTGAACGCCGCCCGTGGCCCAGAATATACGGATGTCGAACGTTTTGCGCTTTCGGAACGCCACGATGGTTCAATAATAGGCGATCTACGGGGTGCCAGGCACCAACGCCGACGTCATCTCGACATGAGCCTGCTGGCATTCACATCCCGAGAGAACACCAGCGCATCATTTTTTGATACTCAGTGAAGTCGCCTTCACTCGCTCCAGCAACAAAGACATATAAATGCACACGCGTGAGGCGTCCAAGCCCTTCCGAGTACGACTACTACTCTGACTACGAGTACTATAGCTACTCAGAATCCAGGCGCCGAATCCTCTGCCTGCCTCACTTGCTCGGGCATCGTGCCACGCTGCTTGATTTCCTGGTGCTTCACCGCGTCACTGTATCATGCCCTTCTGGCCTCTCCTTTCGCGCTGCGCACTGTGGAGCCGTCCCGTGGGACGGGTGAACGCGTGATTGGCCGCCGCTCTGCCCCGCTCCATTCTCAGTTGGTTGCGCATCGCATGCGGACGGGAGTGACCGAAACGAGGTGCGCAGGGCGACAGGTATGGTACCAAGAACGCGCGTAGACAGCCTATTGATAGACATCAAAGTCAAGTCTGTTTGTTCATGCCTTGTCTGTAGGATGCTATGACCAGCCTCACGGTAATGATTCCCCTCGCGCGAGTCCTACAGGTTGGATGTTTGTCGCGCCATATGGCCAATGGCCAAGTGTACGTGTAATCGAACTCATCGCACGTATCGGAAAGGTCCTTGACATGCGAGGCGGCACAGAGTTTTTTGGTAGTAGTTAGCCATTCCGTCTAGTTGCCACGGTGAGGTAAAGAGGAGTCACCGTCCCATTGAAGTACGATCCTGTTCGAGCACACGCACTTTCACATGCCTTCTCATCCCCCGGCAAGCAAGAGTTTGCAGAACATGGTTTGACGCTGTGTGCGAGAAGTTCCATGAATTGTCGCCTCGACCGTCGGGGATGCTCACACGACGCCATTGTATCCTTTCCCCACTTCCTCCCCTCCTGCCGCTTTTTCCCCCTCGATATCGCCGCGTACTCCCGGGACCTCTCGAGAGCGACCTTTTACTCATTTTGGGTAGTTCGTCTTACGGGAGGGGAGGGGCAAGACCACGTACTCCCGGGACCCCTCCTTCCTCCCTCCTCTTCTTCCCTCCGCCCGAGTCCGGGGCTATTGCAGACTCCTGCCGTCTGCGCTGCACTGCCAGATGTCGTCGCGCCGTCACGCTCGTCAGGTTTCCTCCTCATCCTTTGAAGCTTGCGTAGGGCAGAAACAGCATGGACCCCCGATCTGCAAATCACCAGGACAACCATCGTGGGCACAAGACCAACCAAATTTCCTTTTGCAATGCAATGTCGGCAGTTATCGAAAATTCTAGACGCTTCGCGTATCCCCACCAGCCCTACCGCCCTGGACGCTGTAGTGAGCCGCCTGATCCGCGGCCCCGCGCGCGTTAGGTGATTTAGTCGCGGCCGCGGCCCGCCCGCGACCTCCCGCCGCTGGCGCTTCCGCCTGCGGCTGTAAAAAGAAAAAAAGTATCCCCACCAGCCCGTCCAGAAACGACGCCCAGGCGAGTAGAGGGTCGTCCTGAGGGGCTTTTCGGCGTCTTGGGTGCTTGGGGGGGGCCTCTGTGGGCCGTTCGGGATCCGCTTTGGGGCCTCCTGGGGGCCTCTTGGGGCCTCTTGGGGCCATCTTGGGGCCTTTGGGGGCCTCCTGGGCGCTTCTTGGGGCCATCTTTGCCCCCTCAGGAGGCAAAACATGGAGCCTCTGGGAGCACCTTGGGTGCCTCTGGGGGGTCTCTTTGGGCCTCTTGGGGGTCTCTTGGGGGCCTCCTGGAGGCCCCTTGGGGGGCCTCTTGGGGTTATCTTGGGGCCATCCTGCGGCCTCTTGGGGCATCCTGGGGGCCTCTTGCGGCCATCGTGGAGGACATCGATCAAAGAAGAGGGGAGCTTTAATTAGCGCTGCCCCCTCAGAAGGCCACAATGGGGCCAAAACCCTAGTAAAATCAATGATTTTGGCTTCCTCGCCGAGGCCGTTTTGGACGCTCTGACCGCTCGCGGCCCCCCCCCGTCCAGGTCAGTGGGGAGGGGGTAGGGGGAGGGGTAAACCCCTCCCCGAAGAGGAAGAGGGAGGGGTGGAAGAGGAAACGCCCTACACCACCGACGCCCAGAGGGCTGGTGGGATTTTGATCATCTGTCCGCTCGCGTTCATCGGCGTCTGTCCAGTTCGGCTGGTGTGTCAACCAACACGCGCTGTTTTGCGTGCCGCGCTTCTAACGCATGCAGACTGCTGTCGTCCTGCACACGGACTGGCACGCTTCCTTTTCCTGTCCCGCGCGCTCTCGCGCACCAGCCTGCAGCATCCACCCAGCTGCGTCGTCGCACATGCCTCCCGCCCCGCCGAGGGAGACGCGGGGCCCATCCTCGTTGGGGGAGAAATGACGGAGATGAGGAGGACGAGGAGGAGGAGGAGGAGGAGGAGGAGGAGGACATGGAGTAGGAGGAGGAGGAGGAGATGGAGGAAGAGGAGGAGGAGAAGGAGCAGGAGGAGGAGGTGGAGGAGGAGAAGGAGGCGGAGGAAGGGTTGAGGAGGAGCAGGAGGAGGAGGAGGAGGGGGGGAGGGGAGGAGAGGAGGAGGAGCGGAGGAGGAGGAGGAGGAGGGACGAGGAGGAGGAGGAGGAGGGGAGGAGCAGGAGAAGGAGGAGGAATAGAGGAATGAGGAAGAGGAGGAATAAGAAAATGATGATGACGATGCTGATGATGATGATGATGATGATGATGATGATGATGATGATGATGATGATGATGATGATGATGATGATGATGCTTGCTGCTGCTGCTGCTGATGATGATGATGATGATGATGATGATGATGATGCTGATGAGATGATGCTGATGAGATGATGATGATGATGATGATGATGATGATGATGATGATGATGATGATGCTGATGATGATGATGATGCTGATGATGATGATGATGATGATGATGATGATGATGATGATGATGATGATGATGATGATGATGCTGATGATGATGATGATGATGAGGAGGAGGAGGAGGAGGAGGAGGAGGATGAGGAGGAGGAAGAAGATGAAGAAGAAGAAGAATAAGAAGAAGATGAAGAAGAAGAAGAAGAATAAGAAGAAGAAGACGAAGAAAAATAAGAATACTAATAAGAAGAGGAGGAGGAGAAGGAGGAGGAGGATGAGGAGGGGGAGAAGGGGGAGGAGGAAGACGGGATGATGATGATGCTGATGATGATGATGATGATGATGATGATGATGATGATGATGATGATGATGATGATGATGATGATGATGATGATGATGATGATGATGATGATGATGATGATGATGATGATGATGCTGATGAGATGATGATGCTGATGATGATGATGCTGATGATGATGATGATGATGATGAGATGATGATGAATGATGATGAGGATGAGGATGAGGATGAGGATGCTGATGAGGATGAGGATGAGGATGAGAGGATGAGGATGAGGATGAGGATGAGGATGAGGATGAGGATGAGGATGCGGATGAGAGGATGAGGATGAGGATGAGGATGAGGATGAGGATGAGGATGAGGATGAGGATCAGAATCAGGATCAGGATCAGGATCAGGATCAGGATGAGGATGAGGATGAGGATGAGGATGAGGATGAGGATGAGGATGATGAGGAGGAGGAGGAGGAGGAGGGGGAGGGGGAGGAAGAGGAGGAGGATGACGAGGAGGAGGCGGAGGAGGTTGAGGAGGAGGAAGAGGAGGAGGAGAAGGATAATCGAAGAGATGGAGGAGGAGGAGGCGGAGGAGGAGGAAGAGGAGGAGGTTGAGGGGAGGAGGAGGAGGAGGAGGGGGAGGAGAAGGATAATCGAAGAGTGGAGGAAGAGGAGGAGGAGGAGGAGGAGGAGGAGGAGGAGGAGGAGGAGGAGGAGGAGGAGGAGGAGGAGGAGGAGGAGGAGGAGGAGGGGAGAGGAGGAGGAGGAGGATGAGGAGGAGGAGGAGGACATTCGGTGCCGCACTTGCCCGTCACCGCGCTGAGGGGGACGCGGGGTGTCCAGGCCAGAGGCCAAGGGGCCTAGGCTCTCTAGGGGGGAATGGCTGGCGGATGGCCCAGACCCTTCGAGAGATGCCCGCGTCGCAGCACAGAACACGACGGGAGAAGTTTTGTTGGCCTCGAAGATGTCGACGGGTGGTTTATTTTTGTAGCCCTCAAGTATCGATTATGAATCTTCAGTACCTGCTGCCGCCGTTGCAACATGTGCGACGGGAGTGGGACGCATCGCACGTCGCACGCTCGAGAATAAACTGTAATGGTACCGAACAGACGGGGAGGTTTCAGACCGTGTTCGGCTGGGCCCCCAGAGGCCTTTGAACAAGGGCTCGGGATCAGAAGCCCGCCTTGGGGAACGGGTTGGGACTTCCGGGAACCCCGTATTGAAACAATCGGGGCATCGCATGTCTGGGTTACAGCGGCTCTCCACGCCTTTGAGCCGCCGTGGCCCCCCCCGGGGGGCTCGAAGGGGACAGAGGGGAGACAGGGAAAAGACCTTATTCGCCTCCTCCACTTCCTCTCCTCGCAGATCGTCTTCCACCTCCTCCTCCTCCTCCTCTTCCACCTCCTCCTCGTCCTCCTCCTCCTCCAGCTCCTTTGCGCTCTAGCAGCGCTGCAGGAGCTGTTCTTCAAAGGGGCACGCGCTCCTGCGGGCCAAGTTTACGTGATTCCAAGATTTCTCCCGCAGTCAGTGCGCTGCCATGGCTCCCGTGTCCTCTCGCGCGCCTCGGTGGCATGATGGCTGGCCATGGCAGGGGGACGGCAGTTCGGGCCCAGGCAACTTTTCGACGTGGACATGCACGGCATGCGGGTGCAAGAAGAACAAGCAGCAGTGGCAGCAATGCAAGCACTGCTGGACCTGGCGCAGTGCACCCTCGTGCGACCTCGTCACCCAGCCGCGCGGCGCCTGGCAGGGATGGCGTGAAGGAGGGCAGCCCAGGTCGCCGCCTCCTCCCGGGACTTGGTCTGCTGATCTTCCTGTTCATCCAGGCCTTCAGTTCCAGCTCCTAGGAGGCACTTCGTCCCGTCCAGGTACAGCATCGGAGACCGCTCGCCTGGGCGAGTTGGTGGCCATGCTGCAAGGCATGGGCGACACGGACGGAGCAGCCAAGTATCATAAACTTTTGGACTCCAAGCGCTCGGAGCAGAAGGTTGAGCCCCCATTGCAGCAGCGTGTGGGGAAAGCCTTCACGGAAATGCGCACCTTGGAGGGTAGGCTCAGCAAGGAGCGTCTTTAATGTGATTTGGGTGCGCAGCGCCAAGTGGTTCAGTCTCTCACTGAAGACCTTGCCAATTCAGAAGCTCGTCGCAAAGAACTGGTTAAGGAGCTGCACCTGCAGGTGGGAGGCTCCGCGGCAGCTGAAACCGCACCTGCGGCCCAGGCTACCGCGGCGATCCCGATCGATGACATCCTGCAGGGCAAGGAGCTCCCCATCAACATGGACTCGTTGCTGGCGCCTGATGCCGGGTACGACCTGTCGCCAGAGGACAAGGCTGAGGCGGAGGCACGTTTCAAGACCATGCAGCAGGCCATCACGCAGAACGTCCAGCAGCTGTTCGGAGCCGCCGCCGAGCAGGCCGCCAAGTTCCGCGAGGAGCAGAAGAAACAGCTGGCTCGCCTGGCTGGCAAGCGGAGGCGAATGGCAGAAGCACCGCAGACTGGCGGAGGCGACAACGGTACTGATGGAGGAGCTGGAATTGAGGTCGACGGCTCCGCCGAGCCCAAGCCCCCTGCGGAGCCTGCCGCTGCCCGTTTCTCTTCGCCAGCTGCACCATCGGCTTCAGAAGAATATGTACGCGCACGGACACGATGTGTACTGCAGCAGAGCCAGGTGCCCCACCCCTTCAGCCGCCGCGTCAGCTTGAAGGGGGGCATGCTCATCAGTCGCACGGTGACCGACTTCACGACCTTGGATTTGCTCGCCTGAATGCCTCGTCGGGCCAGTTTACCAGGCCTCTTTTTGACCCTGCAGACAAGTCTAACTGTTATTATGTGGCCTGTCGGCCTTTCTTCCGTCGCCCTCTCCCCCTGGCGCGCGGGGTCGCGCCCGGCGAATCGTTTCCGAGGCTTGCTGTCGGCTGTGCGTCACACCCCGTGGAGGGCTCAGCGAGTTTTGTGTATGGGGGCCGACTGACCCATTCCCTGCCGGCTGGCTCCCCTTGTAAGCTGGCCGATTTTGGAGCTCGTTCTAAATGTTTACCCTGTCCTGGCGTATCCAGGCGCAGGCAGCCCCGTGGAGTTGGTCCAGGGGCCCGACGGGTCGAGCTCGGTGCAGCTCGTCATTCGCAGCATGAATGTGGAGGCTTGGGGCGCCCTGAAGAAGCTGTTGCCGGACGCGCCTGCCAACGTCGCGTTGGTGCAGGAGCGTCGACTGCTGAGCGCTGAGACGATCTACTCAGCCAGAACGTGGTGCACCCGTAATGGATGGAAGTCTTTCTTGTGCGCTGCGCGGGAGATTGAAACTGATACCCCGGGGGGAGTTGCGGTTCTCGTCCGCGACTGGCTGGGCCTTTTTGCCCCTGTGGAAGGTTTCGTAATGGGTCAGGGCCACGCGATGGCTGCTGACGTGCAAGTTCCAGGGGGGGGAGGGGCACTTTTCGAGTTGGAAGCGTGTATCTCCGCCGCAGCGAAGGTCTTTCGGGGCGTGATACGAATGCGTTGTCCCCCTCTCGGTGCCGGGTGCCCCTCTTTTTCGGGCTCCTTTGATCTTGGAGGGAGGGGGGGGGTCAATCTTCCACCGTCGGACTTCGCCTCTTCGAAGTTCGTTGCTGAGCTCCGGGGCCAACTCCTTGATCCAGAAGGCTGCGCTTTCTTCGGGGATGGCAGCCAGTCAAGGATGGTTTTGTTCTGTGCGCAGCGGGGGTCTCGGCAAGGCTGCTGCCTCATGTTGCGTGGCCATGGCCGCTGAGTTGAGCCCGCGCCGCCCTGTCGGTCTCACTTTTCACCCTGCCCCTGCTGCCCTGAAGGCGCTGAGTTTTCGGAAGCCACCGCCGTTCCCCGTCCATCTTTGTTTCGGTCCCAAGCCTAAGCAGGATTGGGGGCGGGTTCTGGATGTGGCCCAGGAAGGTTTGCATGCGGTTGAGAGAGGGGGCGGCGTCAGGACTGCTCAGTTTCTTGCCCGAGGCAACGGGGCCTGGGCCTGGGCCAACGTCGCCGAGGTAGAGCTGATGCCGCTCCTCGGCGCCGACCTAGTCAGGGCTGGGACAAGGAATTCGGGGCCTCAGTTGATGTGGAGATCGGTAGTTGGAAGGGGTGGTAAACCAAGGTGTCCCGCCCGCCGTGCCATCGCGTGGCGGGGGCCCAGTCTCGGAGCTTGGTCTCCCTGCAGCGTGACAGCCGAGGTGTGTCTGAGCAGTCGAAGGCCATCCATGCGTCTCTCCTCTGCTGGCCTGCTTCGATTGTTGGCCACGCTTCAGAATTTGCGTCTTCTTTTTTGGATGTAAGGCGCTTCGCGCAGCAGCGTGCCCCGGCCCAGTGGTCGTCGGAGGTGTCCGCGGGCGCCGCGTATCGTTCCAGATCCAATGCGGACTGGCGGGCTTGGCTCTCGGAAGGTCCGGGCCGAGGGGCCAAGGGGGTCCGCGCCGTCACCGAGGGCCCTTTCCCTTGGAGGCCGACGACGACGTTGGCGGCGGATGGCTCGGCGGTGGCCGATCCCCTGTCTCTGCTCGCCAAAGAGGGTGGCAAATTCAGCAAGTTCTGAGGGTGGGCTTCTGGCTTCTGGTGAGGCTATGCCCATTTCTCTGGTTCAGGCTTTTCCCGGGGCCACTCTAGATCAGCTCCGAGCCGCGTCCGAGCGTTACTAGAAGGGTTCGGCTGTCACATATGGTGGTTTGGCTGCGGGCGCTATCGCCTGTTGCGCGACGATGGCCTTGTTGCGCTGGGCATGCTCTTCGAAGTGATGGAGGCGGTTGGGGTTTTGCCGCGGCAGATTTCGGCGGTGCTGCCCGCGCTCCTCAGCGAGGCCACTGGCGGCTTCAGGCCGATAGGGGTGTTCTGCTCTTGGTGCAGGGTGTGGGGCCGCCTTCGGCGCTCCCGTGCCCTGGGCTGGGCGCGGCGACGCCCCCGTCGGCATTGGGCTGCTGGTGCCTTTTGGGGGGCGCCGGACGTCGTCTGGCGCCAATCGGTCCGCGCCCTGGCGGGCACGGGTCGCAGGGGATGCAGTGCCGGCGTTTTCTACGACATGCTTGCATATTATGAGACGATCAGCTTGGATCTTGGGAGATAGATGCGAGCGCCATTGTTTTCCCTCGGTCATTTCGGCCATTTCTCGTCTTTTGATTTATGCTTACCGGTGCGGACGTTTCATCTTGATTGCGGGCCTGCTTGATGGGCCTTTCTTCGTGGTTAATGGTGTGATCGCGGGGTGCAGCTTCGCGACTTCGCGCATTCGGTTTTCTCCGTGGACGCGGTCGATCGGCCCCCTCGGCATAGACCGCTCGAGTTCGATGCGCATATCGACGACGCTGGAGTGTCGAGCGCTGGTCGTCACCAGCAAGTCGCCGCAGACATCGCGTCGACCTCGATCCTCCTGCATCGTGCCATCACCACGGACATGGGTTGTCCATGGTCTCTTGAGAAGGTCTGCGCGGTGGCGTCCGGCAAACAAAAGACTGGCGACATTTCCCGCGCCCTTGGCCAACTCGGGTGCCGAGTGCTGGACTCCTTTGTGAATCTTGGAGTTGGCTTTTGCGCGGGCCGCTCTGCCAGAGTCTCAGGCAGGAGCTCCAAGATGAAAGCCAGGGCGGCTCTCATGTGTCGGAAGGCTCGTCGTCTCAGGAAGCAGTCTGAGCGCGCTGGCCGTTCTGCCCCCAAGATTTTCGCTGCTGGGCTCCTCGCTGGAGGAGCGTGCGGCGCGGGCGTTCTGGGTGTCAGCGATCGGCAGCTCCTGCTGATGAGACGTCGAGCGTTCTCTACTGTCAGGCCCTTTGCCAAGAGCAGAACTCTTACTGCTGTCAGCATTCTCTCGGGCGACCCGTGCTGGAGAGCTGCGGGCGCCCCGATCTTGAGATGGCGTGGGGAACTATGGATCACGCGCGCCAGAGTGTTCAACGGGTCTCTCTCTTCTGAAGATCTCCGCTCTCGGCGCAGTGCACTCGGCCTCGAGAGGGTCGCGTGGCCCACTGTGGAGGGGCCTCTCTCTGGGATGCGCCTTTCTCTGCTTCGCCTGGGTTGGGGGAGGGCCAACTTCGTGACGATTGTTGGCGACGGGGGCTACCAGCTCTTGTTGGGCTTACCCTCCCCTAAGCTTTTAGAAGCGCTGTGTCGGGATGCTTACATGGGGAATTTGGAACGGGACTTGGGTGGTAAATGGGATGTCGGGGAGGTCTGGGTTCCCCCAAAGCCGCCTGCAGTTCCAAGAGATTCACCCCTGCCCAGCGTGGATGGGTCCGCGCCTGTACCAGATGCGCCATTTGGACGGCCGATCGCGCGTTGAGCACGGGATATGAAATCGACCCGCTGTGCCCGAAGTGCCAGGCGCCCGATTCCATCGCCCGCCGTCTGGGAGTGCCCCGATGGCGAAGTTGCCGAGTCAAGGGCCCAGCTGGTCCCCGCCTCTATTATTACTGCTGCTCTTGCTGCTCTGTCCACTGAGGCCTCCAGCGAAGATATCTGCCTGTGCGCTAGAGGGGCTTTCGCTCACCCCGCCGGCTGGCTGCCCAGGCCTGCTCTCGAAGGGGCCAACTCCTTGGTGTACGCGCGGCATCGCGCTGAGCTCCTGAGCCCTGAGGGCCCAAGGGCCCCAGCTAACGGAGGGGTGTGCGGGCGCCTCTTCATCGATGGATCATGCCGGCGCCGTCCCATTCGTGAGTTATCACGCGCGGCGTGAGCTATCTTATCTCAATGACTTCCGATGATGGGGAGTGCCTTGGAGAGGTCAGGGTCCCTGTATGGGCCCCTCTTCCCTCAGACTCCGCAGGCTGCGAAATTCTCGGCCAGTTGTGTGGTTTCTCAGTTTATGATTTTCCCGTCTATCTTGTATTCAGATTGTGCCAATGTGGTTTACCAGAGTTGCCTCCCTCTGCCAGAGAGACATTCAGGGATGATGCATTATTCTGGAATGACTTTGCAGGCCAGTGCTAATACGGGCCAGGTTTTAGACAGCATCGTGAAAGTAAAGGCCCACCTCGCCCTTGAGGAGGAAGGCCTTTCAGCTCGCGAACGGTTTCTTCGCAAGGGCAACTCGGACACCGAGATAGGAGCTAAGCGCGGCCTCTAGCTTCACCCGTCTGCCCCCCGCGATATGGAAGTTGTCGCGAAGCCTGTCGATGCCGCCAGAGCACGCTGTATTATTGCGGCCAACTTTTTTCCGCTCTGGCCTTAATTGCCCCCCGATGTGCCGCGCGCCCCACCTGGGCGCCCCTCCTCGCTGCTCAGCCCCCCCCCCCCCCGTGCCTCATAGGTGGGAGAGATGGAGTGGCATTCGGAAGTGCGTTGTTTGTCTGCAGGGTCGGAGGAAAGCAGAGACTTGCCCCCCGCCTGGCTCTGGCGTCAGTTCTTCCCAGCTCCATGCCGCGAGGCAGCGGGGGCTAGGCCGCCGAACGGTGGCGTTCAATTGCTCGGATGGTTCAGTTATTTAATCGCTTCGCTCATTCCGCCGGCCCATACAGTCTCATGTCTGCCGTTTGCCCGAGGGC